GGATATGCTCATCATGTAACTGGAGACTTGGATCCTTGACCAGCATAAAAACTTTTACATTATTTATAGAAAAAAATCACTTCTAGGAAGTCTTTTGTATTTGAATTTTTTATGTATTCCCTGAATTTTTATTTGATGTTTATCCATCACTTGTTGCTTTTCTCTGCTCCTGCTGTGATGGGAGTTTTGTGAGGTTTTAACTCTCAGATGTGATGATTTTCCTTCGCCTGCTCTCTTCCAAGGCAGAGAAATCGCAGAGGATCTGCCCTTGAGGGCTGGTGACGGAGGAGCTGTAGTTTGGAGCTGGCCAGGTCGTGGATGGGGCCAGGTGAGCCTCCCAATCCAGGAGGACCCCAGGCTCAGCGCATTTGTTCTTATCCCCTCTTCTGCTCAGTCAGGGAGCCCGACACATGCCAGTGGAATCAAGTATTTCTGGATCATCGATGGATGCACAGACATGTTCATTCTAGCTGGGACTGCCTGTCACCTGCCTGGGCCTCCTGGATGTCTCTCTCTGCCCTTCCATCTGCACAAGCGAGGAGAGTCGTGGGGAGGGGAGGGAGCTGTTAACCCTGAGGCTCGTCATTCTCTCTTCTCCATCCGAGTGCAGACCTGGCTGCAATTCAGGTTTCAGTGTACAGAGTCAGCATCTCACTAGCCGATGGAAGAGCAATTTGTTGGGATAAACTTGGATCCCTCATGGGCCTCCCTGATGGTGCAGGGGTTAAAGTCTCGGCGCTAGGAAGCTATCTCCAGCTCCTGCAGCACGAGTTCGATCCCCAGCCAGGGAGTGACCCACAGGGCATAGCAGACCTCTCCTGACATACTCACTGCCCGCCTCAGCAGTGGATTTCAGTAGATCCACCTGTTCTGCTCCTCACTCTCTCTGGTGACTCCTCTCCCCCCCCCCCCCCCGTACCTCTGGCCTACACCCCAGTACTTGTATGCATAAATAAATAAAAACAAATCTTTAAAAACAACAACAAAAACAACAACCTTGGATCCCTATGGCTTCCGGGAGAAAGGTGCACAGCCCTTAGTGGGCACGGAAAGCGGAGAGTTAACATCCATCATTTCCAGTGCAGTGTGTGTTGGGATCTTGCTGGCTTGCTTGCTGATAGTTACCCTGAGTAATTCATTCCTCACACTTCTACCAACAGTTATCAAACTTTCTGATGTGTGTTGACTGCTAGATACCAATGATATTGTACTTTCATCTTCTTATGATGAAGGACATTAATGAAATTTTAGGTCGACTAAGTCATTCCATTTCTCAGAAAACTTTGACGTTTGCTTTCTTCATTTTTCCATTGGTTTATTTATTATTATCATCATTATAATTTTACTACCGATATTTGGGGCTATAAAAGTTTTACAGTGCCATTTATTTCACAAGTAATATTCTTCATCTTTACTTTTTTAGTATTTGTGGTAATTTTTTGTCATGGAGAATATTTTGAAAACATTTTAAGTAACAACTTTTATCTGTTTTTGAAATGTTATTCTTCTTTGGTTTCATACTTATTAAAATCTTTCATACTCCAAATATTTCCAGAACTTATATTTCCTTCAAATACTTTTTTTATTTTGTTTTATTTTTTCCACATAATTTATCTCTCTGGAGTTTATTTTTGTAAAAGCTATAAACCCATGATTAATTATATTTTTTGACTGCCTGATAAGCTCAATATTCATGAATGATCCACCTTTTCCTCACTACTTTTAATGACCATTTTATAGAACTGATACTGAAACTTAAAATCCAAATAAATATAACCCTGTATGCCAAACATCAGAATCTATCATGATTTCATGATTTGTACTAACAGTGGAGTATGACAGTCAAGTTTTATTCACCTGGGAATTATTTCTCATTTCAAGCTCAAATTTTATTGGGAGAAAACATTATGATGGTGTTGGGAGACATTAATAGAGAACAATTAGAGAGATCATTAGGTATCTAAACCTAATAACATTTTATTTCAGAAGATATTTTGTTTTTCACTTGTTTTTTCAATTTCAGAAATTATTTCTGAAATATCTAAAAGTTCCTTTGCATTTCTATTTTACTAACAAAGACCTAGATTATTTCTTGAATATCAATTCACTATGAATCATCTACCTATAATGCATTAATATAACTTTTGACTTAAAATACATTTAGCCACTTTCATGAAAATTTAAAAAAATCAAACAAATAATTTATGATGGATAGGGTATTTATATGTTGATTTATTGATTTCCCCTTATGTTCTGCAGATGAGTGGCTTCCACATGCCAATCTGCTTTAAAAGAACCTTCACCAATTATTAGAATTTGTGTGAAATTTCTTGTACAAATCTACTTTATTCAGCACGGTCAATGGAGTGTGATTGCTACTTCCTTTGGAATGAAAGGTTACAATATCACATTCAAATTACTCTTCTTCAGACAAATAAGGAATCTTAAATCAGATGAAAGTGATCATGAGTAACATCGTTAATGAAACTTGGTACATGCGAGGCATCTGCCGATCAAACGACTCTTTAAATTTAATCCATACATTCTTCGATGAAAAGAGTGTGTAAAAGTTTCTGTAAGAAAATGCCATCCACAAAGGGAAGTGTGTATAACAGGGCCTCAGTAGGCCATGGGTTAGTCTGAGGTCAGAGGTCATACTACAGAGACATGGGTTGTGTTTCTAGGTTAATAGCATGTTCATATGGTGTTCAAACACAAGATTTTGTCTAAATGATGTGGAAGGGCTTCAAAATCAAGACATTTAGAAAATTATCCATAATATCTTATCTTGCCATAAAATTAGTGGCTCAGGCTTTGGTGTGGGGGAGCCCTAACCCCCTGAACCTTGACCTCTGGCCTCATGACATGACCTATCCTATGAATTCCACAGTAGGATTCTTAGTGATATAGGAATCCTTGAACAATGGCCTCAGCGATGTGTCTCCCACCGCCACGCCCGCCCCACCCCTCCAATCACTTTGAGGCTATGGACATTTGTGAAACTCCAGAAAAGCAACAGCTGGACGCAACAGCTGGTGAGGTCTGACACTGGCATGGTGTGAACCACCTCAGAAGAAAACTTGCCAAATGCTTTTTATAAGAGACAGCTGGGATCTTAAGTGAAAATGAAAAGAAGAACAAGCCTCTTGGATCTCTTTGTTTTTAAAAATAGATATTTGCTGAAATATTCCATATGCAGACGTGCACCATCCCTGAGAAAGACTCGTAAAAAACTTGGCTGCAAAAGCCCCATGTCCAGCATTTTGTGATTTACCCACTTGAGTTCATTTCTCATTCCCTGTAACTTAGGAACTCAATTTGTAACTCATAAGTAATTTTTTCCCGCTAGTCCCAGCTAGATGGTTATTTGGTCTTTTCATGGATGGGGTCACATTGGGATTATCTCATTTTCCTTCAGAGTGATGGGAGGCAGGGGGAGGTGTTGTGACAGGAACTGTGCGATGAGGGACACAGCAGTCGTAGCGCAGGTTTGCATTTTACCTTCTCCAATGTGTCCCGGCCTATTCCATTATTTTATTTTTGAAAAGATTTTACTGAAAAACCATAGTACTTTTCAACAAATATATGTCTATGTATTATGTATTTGTAATATATTATCTGTACATTTGTATACATTTGTAGAAATACTATCTACATGTAAATAATATGACATAGATCTCATTTGAGCGATTTTATGAAGGGGTGATGGGCACCCCTGAAATCCCCGTTCCCAGGCACCATCCACAGTTGATGCCAGGTTCTCCGTGCAAAGCTGCCTTGGTTCTGCTGTGCTAACTTTCTCTGCCCAGTCCCATTGATTTTGTGGCCTTGTTTTACTGTGATTTAAGTTGGTCCACATGAGATAGTCATGTTTAGCCATTAACGGTATGTTAATGAACATATCTTTTTTTTAAGATTTATTTATTTATGCATACAAGAACAGGGGTACAGGCCAGGGGCGCAGGAGGGTGAGAGGATTCTCCAGAGACAAAGCAGGGAGCAGAACAGGCAGATGGACTACTGAAACACACTGCTGAGGGGAGCAGCAGGCAAGACAGGAGAGGTCTGCCACGCCATGTGGGAATCTCCCTTGCTGGCCGGGAATCGAACCAGTGCTGCAGAGGCTACAGACAGCTTCACAGCACTGCGCTCAATCCACTGTGCCACTGGGGAGGCCCAACATATTATTTTAAAGACTATCAATGTACCCCAGAGAGCAGTTGTTTTTTGTTTTGTTTTGTTTTGTTTTCTGTAGCTACACTGCAGACTCTTCAGTTTCAAGCAATGATTCCGTCTCTGTATATGTTGGCGAGAATTTTTAAAGTGTCCAATTCAAATGTGATAGCCTGATTCAAGGGCTTTTGTGAGAAAAAGAAAGTACTGCAATATATTACGGATAAAGACTAACTTTATATCACAAATTTTTGGCACTTATGGGATAAATCACGTAGAATTGCTATATGAATGAAATTTTGAAATTCTGATTTATCTATTAACGTTGGAGACATATCATTATGGAGTGTGAGAAGTTCAAGATCTTAAATTATCCAAATAGTAGCTGCATGATCTTCATGTAAATGTCTGCTCAGATGAGGAGTTTATTTTTTGCCTTGACCTTTAAATTCAGGATATGTTTGATTATAATTATTTTCTTCATGTAGTTGAAGGTGAGGTGGTACTTAAAAATTCAGTATTAATTTCTCCAGCAATATTAAATTTTAGCAAAACATTCTTTTGATCCTAAACAAGACTGGAAATAGTGGTAAGAATGTCAGAAACAACAAGAATTCACTGGTCAGGAACCTGGGTGTATTTCTATCAGGATGGCTAAGCTACTGGGGGTCACTTCAAATCATAAAATCTCGCCCAAACACACTGCTCCCTTATTTCTCACCCACTCTCCATCCTACAGGTGTATGGTAACTTCCCACGACTTGGCTTATTCTCATCTTGAGATTCATGATCACTCCATCCTGAGCCCTCTCACAGGCACTGACTCAAGAGAAAGGAGACAGAGCGGAAGCACATTGGATTTTAATCTCTCACTCCCCGTGACAGCATCACCAGGCACAAACCTTAGGCCCCGCGGGTCAATTGATCGGCAGGAGGGGGCCAGTGTCGTCGTGGGGGAGCCTGGCTCTCCTCTGCCCCTGCTCCTAATTTCACTCTTCCTTCCTGATGTTGCACAAAAGCTCTTTTTCTTCTTTTCCCATCTTTTCATTTTGTGGTTTTCATTCAACGGACACCTAGGAAGAAATACAAACAAATACAAAGATACTGAGCCAGGACATGGGGGTGATTGTCATGACAGAAGTCTTAGTGGCTGGTGACTGGGTCACCATCAGAGAGATTTTCCCCATAAGAAAAAAAGTCATTTGGAATAAAGTACCGCAAAAATACCATTGCTCCCTGGAAGTGATGCGCTGACTTGAGAGGGCATTTGGTGCACCTTGGCCGGGTCATGCTGCTCCTGCTCTGCTAGGCACTGGCACCTGTCACCTATGAAGAAACAGATGCAAAGGAGAGAAAGTCGCAATCCGACCCTGAAATCAGGCAGAGAAATGGGATGTGTTGTGTGGCTTGGGAGAGCCTCCCATGAGGGCAAAACTCAGCGTGTTACATCATTTCCAATCTTCTTTCTCTCCACTCCCTCGGTGAGATCTGGGCCAGACAAGGCTGGGGTCTCTGGCACCCCGTTTTGCTCGACTACCTAAGGCCCCGGAATTTCCTCCCTCCCCCTATGTCTAGGTTGTAATTTCATTGGCGCCACTATTCAAACCCCGCTTCACACCGATCGGTTCCCTACTGGGCAAACGTGCCCCCTCTTGTAGCTTCTGATCACCACCTTCTAAATTTTCTACCCTGAACTCTGTTTCTCCTTATTAAATAATATATGCTGGAAAAAAAAATGTATCAGGACATTATGTGTAAAAGGCCCTTTGTGGGTATTGATTAAATATTCAAGTTTTAAAAATTCAACAGTGTATTTCAAACACTGGCTAATTTAGATCAAAGTTTAATTTTTGACTCAATATTTATATCACACTTCTGTCTGTGTGTATAAAATGTTAAAAAACAAGTCTATAATTCTGTATTTTAATATTAATATTTTGACAAACACTATAAATTCTATTTTATTCCATCTTAATTACTGTTTGAAGAGTTCTATGTAAATATCAATAAGTTATTAGCTTTATTTTAGCAAAGGTCAACTTTATTCACTACACACAAGTCAAAGGAAGAACATAAAATCATGCATCTAAGGGAAGAACATAAAATCAATATTTTTAGTGAAGGGAAAGATTCTGAATTAGTGCAAAAATCAAAAGAGTTGTAATCCATGAAATTCAATAAAAATGTAATTGAAAGGGAAGTGTGAATGATTAATTCAAAAACAGATAACCTGTGCTATCCACACTTGGACATGGTTTGATCATCATCTTAAACTTCTTTTTAGTCACACTTTTCAAGACCAAGCATGGTGCTTGACTTGTGATATAATTTAGATAGGAAAGAGTTAGGGAATAAATAGCTTCTGAGGTTGTCTTAAAATCATACAAAATACTCAAAAACAAACACAGATCACCAACAGGATGATTTATATATGAAGGGAAAATTATTCTAATAAGTTAGAATAATAAATAAAAAATATTCTAATAATTTATAATACATAGCTGATCAGAGCTGGTTTTATTTTATTATTATTTTTAAAGATTTATTTATTTATGCATACAAGAACCAGGGTACAGGTCAGAGGTGTGGGGGGTGAGAGGATTCACCAGAGACAGAGCAGGGAGCAGTACAGGCAGACTGACTGAAATCCACTGCTGACAGGAGCAGCGGGTAGGACAGGAGAGGTCTGTCTCACCATGTGGATTGCTCCCTGGCCTCCCAGTGGTGATCCAACTCCCATAGCAGAAGCTGCCAACTGCTTCATAGTGAGGTGCTTAATACCTTGCACCACCAGGGAGGCCCCCAAGAGCTGGTTTTATGTAACTAAATTGGATGGACAGCAGTTTAGCGCCATATATGGAGAGTTGTAGCTACTCAAAACAATGACAAACATACATCTATTCAAATACTTAGAGGCCATGGTTTTTAGTGGTTTTTTGCATAACAACCCTAACCTGGAAACAACACAGCTCTAGAATGGAGCTGTCCTTCAGCTCTAGAATGGAGGATCCATATGCATTTGAGTATTACCCAGCAGTAAAAAGGAGCTGACACATGAAACTCAAAAATCACGAAACTGCATGAAAGACCATCACATGGTGCATGCGGAGTGTGCAGGTGTGTGCAAGTTTACAGAAATGCACACTAATCTAGAAAGCAAACCTATGGCTGAGGCAAGGGGAGGTGTAGATTTGCAAATGAGCAGGAAACAACTTTAAGGTGTGATATTCTGCATCTTGTTGGCAGTGTTGTTTTGCTGGGTGAACTACTGTCCAAACTCATTGAATGAATTCTGTAAATGGCTTTCTCCTTCCTGGTGCCCCAGCCTGGTCTCCAGGGCACAGCAGAGGCGCCATGGCAGGTGGCACACCCTCCTTTGTATTTACATGCCTCTCTTCCTGGTGAGACTTTGAGGGGCCACTGACCTTTTTACACTGATGTTTGTTTCACACAGTGCCCTACAACATAATGCCTGGTAAAGCAAACTAGATGTTTCAAGGATAAGCAAGGCGAAAAGCTTGCCCTTGAAGAACTCAGAGACTAACAGGAGAGACCAAAAACTCAGGGTGCTTAAGTGCTCATCAAGTGCTCAGTGCAGGTGGTGAATGCCAGCAGAGAGCAAGGAATCTTCAAGGTCAAGTTCAAGTGGCATCTTCAAGGTCAAGTTCAAATTCCACTTCATTCTTGGAAGCTTCACTGAATTGCACCTTTCCATTTCTATAGCATTTAGAGATGATAACGCGTATTTGGTTCTAATGAGATACTGAGGGTGATGGGGTTTCTGTGTGCCTGGCATGTTCAGCACAAATGTGAGTTGAAGAGGAGTCGAGAACGTCTTTCAACGTGCTCTGTCTCCAGAGTAGCGCTGTGATTTAGATGGCTCAGGGTAGCCGTTCTTACTGATGGCTGCGTGTTCCCGATGACAATAGCTATGAGTCATATTACTGAATAGGCTCCAATACATTTGAAAGACTAATCTGCCAAAAAGCATTATAAATAGCATGATATATAAAAAGATATATGTGGCTGAAGGTCAGAGTAATTACACTGTGATTAACCCTCCTGTCTAGATGTAAGACAACTGTGAAAATCTCTTAAAGGAAACTGGCATTTGAATAAGCTTTTGTGGTATAATTATGCTTAAGTAAATATTTTATGTAAGTTTGCGGCAGAGAAAGTATATTTAGGCATGGGCCTATGATAAAAATACCAACACTCCCACACTCCTACACTAATTTTGAAATGCAAATTAAAATTAACTAGCCTTTTATAAATAAAATTGTATATGATTATCTATCGTAACAATTACATTCTTATTTTTTTGGTAAATTATGGAATTTTTAGAATAAAATATTTAATAGTAGCTCCTAACATTGTCTAATTTCAGGAATGGTGGGGGCTTATAATTAGTTGCACCTATGAGAATTCTGAAAATTGTAGAAAGGGGATTTGGTTTCTGGCAATATAGCTATGGGGAGCATGTTGGTTCTGAGTTACTATCTCGCAGCTTGAAACTCCTCATGGTGTGCGTCAGTTTGGGGATCAAGGAGCTCCAAAGGAGCTCCTACGTCGGGGTCTGAGGCAGACAGGCTTCTTCTGAGACACCTGAATCCCGGTTCAAAGGACCTGTCTTTCAAACTTCTAAACTGTAATAATCCCACTCCTACTCTTGATTCTTCCAACCTTTTAAAAGTAGCTGATTCCAAGCTGCTCCATCCTATCTCAGAGCTACCTTTTTGTCGTCCTAGATCTCAGGTGACTAGCAATTTTGCTATATTCCTCTTTTCTCAACTGTTAAAATAACTGTTATGATTTCAGTTCAGTTGGACTCTGACAGCTGGACAGGCCTCTCCGGATGGACGCAGTGCAGGAACTTAGCTCCACCGATCAGCTTTGCCGGTCGCCCTGAGTGGCGGTGCAGTGACGAGTCACTCATCACCATGAGCGCCGCTCAGACGTGGGTTCCAGCTCCACGTGACTCTGGGTGTTTTTTAACTGCTTGCATTTCTTGCAGCCTCAGCTCCCTTCATGTGTAAGAAATGTGTTTAAGGATAACCAGGCAGCAGAATTAGCACAATGAACAAATGTACACGACAGTTCTAAACACGTGATGCTTGGCAAATAATAGGCTGTCCGTTGTCCCTTCTGCAACGAGAAATTACTACTTCCTGAATATCTACACATTGTCCTTGGTTATTCCTACAAGCAGTTACCAGGACTCCTTGCTAGTAAGCCAGTCACACACTCGGGCTTCCATGGGGACACCCATGGGGAAGTCCATGGGGACACCACCCCCCTCTGTGTACATGACACCTCGGAAAGCCTCCACAACCCTCCTGTGTTTTGGTTAACATCCATTCCCAATTAACTGACACCCCACATCTTGAATGGAAAGCAGGCACTTGACTGCAATATGCCGGTTTAATTTGGGCCACGTTGTCTGCTTGAACTGACGGGGTGGTTAATTTCAACGAGGAGGCTACAGGCAACCTTTTTTCAGCCTTTGGCTTCTGCCATGTCTTTATCAACCTGGAGAAAGGCATAGCCCCTGGACAAAGTACATTCTTTCAACTTGTGCTTAGGGGTTAGGGGAGTAAAAGGAGACGTTCGAGCTGGATCTCATGCCACTCATGTATTACTAGTCTATTACTCTGTGTAAATGAAAACTTAAGAAAAAAACAGGCAATGGAACTGAGCAGAAATTCAATTTTTGTTTGTCTAAGTTTCTTTTAAAATTTTACAAATTTTTCAGGCAGGGCTGCAGTGGGTACATACTGGACTCTTCAGCAATCTTGGAGGTAAGAAGGAAGGTGCCTTGAAGGGGCAGGGGATGGCTGAGGGTTGGGGGCGTGGGGTATTTCTCCTCTGGAGACTTGTTTTCTGCTTGTTCATTTGTCTCGTAGGCTGCTGGGGCTAAATCGATGAAATCTGCATTTCCTACAGTAAGCAGCCCAGGTTCCCCCCTGTGGTTTTGTTATTTATTTGCATATTCATATATATTTTAACATTTATGTTGGACTATTTAAGAGTCACTCAAGACTGGCCAGAACTGTGCTGAATGGTGCTGCCAAGAAGGCTTCCAGCCACTGCAAAGGGGAGTGCTCGAGAGAAGGAAGACATTCAAAACCAGTCTTCCTGCTGTTTGATGCATTTTTTAAATAAATATTTTAGAGTAGCTTTAGGGTTGAAGAAACTTTGCAAAGTTAATACAGGGAGTTCCCCGGCACTTCCCACCCAGTTTCCTGCACCGTCACCATCGTGCAGTGACAGTGTGCGGTATCCAATGTCTGTGCGGTGGCGAGACCAGTATCGATGCCTTATGATTA